ACCATAATTTTGACAACGACCCAAACAGTAGTTTCCATTTCATCCCTATGTAACTCCCCATTGCATACCCCCGCGTCGCAGCCTTGGTGTGGTCCCCATTGCAAACCTCACACACCGCCTGGATTATTGTTTGGTAATATTGGGGCGGATATATATTGGGGTTATATTGGNNGGGATAGTGGTAAATAAAATGGAAACTACTATTTAGGGTTTATGGTAGTATGGGTGCCCTATCATGGATCCTACAGGGGTAAATCTAAAAACATCGAACCGATGGACCTGACAGTGTAAGGGGTCTCCAGAAAATCTGGGTAACTCAGAGTCACCCTTCCATTTGAATTTCCAGTATTCCCTAAACCTTATAGATCCCCGTATATCCCTATGTAGCCTCTATAGAACACCCTAAGCCCTAAACGGACTAAATGCCAACCTCCGAGCCTGCCCTCGAGCTCCCAGGACCGATTGGGTTGGGGCTTCATCTTCAAAAAATGATGTTTGGACCGTGACGCTGAAGGCTCGCGACTGCATGTGGGACGTGTTCGGTTAAGCGTGAGGACGCCCGCCAAATTTTAGGCTCCGGTTCTGGGAGTCCAACTTACCTGACGGGTTGCTCATGTTTGCGTAGTGCCTCATTGAGGTTGATGATGAGGACGGTGTCATCTACAAAAAGAATCACCCACTGAGAGAAGGAGAACACGATATCAAGGAGCTCAAGACATCCATGTTGCTGTATTGTGACTGGCCGCACAAGTGTGGACTTTGTATTGCTACAGTGACGAGAAATATGACCCGTCTGACTTGAACATTCTCTAGCTTTTTTTTGCTCTTGCTGCCTGCGATGTCTTTGCTTTACTACATTTTTGCGAGGGAATCTGGGTCCCTTCTATAACGGCCCTCAGATAAGGGTTCCCTCTGATGAAGCCTAGGTGGAATTGCGAAAGATGCAGAGCTTGCGTACAACGCCGCTTTTCAACAATTTGGCTTCGGTGACCATGCGGCATGCTTGCTGCAATCAAGGTGGAGCTCCACCGAACGAAGAGCCAATGCTTGAATAAACTCGTTTATATATGGCAAGGCGCGGTCACCAATGGTTGTGTTCAGTACCCTGCCCTGGTGTCCTGCTGGTAAGCGAATCACTTTTCCAGGCATCCTCATTTCCTTGCACTTCTTTTGCTGCGTCGGGCAACGGGTACACAGAGTGCTTAGAGGCCCGGGATTTTCATGATCTTAGTTGTGGGCAGCAGGAACGCATGGCTGAGCATTGGGCCTTTAGGTGCGGTTCAATCTCATGGCTTAACCAGTAGAAGCTGCGTGCCAGGTCTTTACCATGGCACAAATACACAGGCGCCCTCCTTCTCAGAGATGCATTGTCTTCATCGACACATGATTGCCTTTGCACGTTCTGGGCAGGCTCCTGCAATTTTTGAGGTAGGTCTTCGCCACAGAGGGCCAAGGCACTGATCTGAAGGGTCTGGCACATCAGCTCTAACAATTGTCGCGGCGCTTATCTTGCGCGTGTTCCTTTGTGAATTCCCTTTTTTCCGAAATTGCCAGGTTGTATAGCAACCCTGCCCATGCCTTAGAGCACTTTAGAAGTAATTGCAGCTTTCCACTGTGCACGAAAGCATTTACTTGCTTTGTTGCTGAGGAAATGCCGCTTGCCTGCAGAATGGCATCACAATTGTTTGACTTGTTGCCCATGCCAGTTGTCATCTCAGGCTACTGTGCCTCAACATAAACTCTTATGCCGGTGGTGCTGCGCGTGATTTGTGGAGCAGCTCTTGGAGATGTGGCATCTTGACTATGGATCCCCTGGCTGAGCAGATAATTATGGCACACAATCATGCCTTCTTATCACTGTCATTCTCGCTTTTCTTCTTGAAGTCATCATGTTTCTTTTTTAAATTGTTGTTCAATCAGTCAGCTGCTGTATCAGTGATAGAACTAGGTATGCCCCGCTGTTGATACTGTTTTTCTTCCCTGCCATCTCCCACGGTTCTGGTACTCCTGCATTTGATGAGCGTTCGGGTTGACGTTCCATCCGGAAAAGTCCCCAAAGACTGGTCCGTATGACGTTTCTTGTATGCTTTGCGCTTTCTGTACATTGTCGAACAATTCCCTGCGGTGTTTCTGCAGTGGCCAGGCTTATCCTGTGTCTGCTCTCAGCTAGGTATCGAGCTTGCCACTTGCAGCCGGCTTTGCAAACGGCGTTGCGATTGAACTTGCATTCCCTGCACTCCGAAAGATGCGTGTGGTTGTGCGAAGGAAGCGGTCGTGCTTTCTTTGTCAGTATCTGGTTATCTAGGGATGAAGGGATGGAGGACTGGATCCTTCTGGCTCAATAACATGGTAGTTTCCATTGTCATTTCCATTGTCGTTTCCATTCTTTCATTCATCGCTAAAACAAAGACGATCTGCTAAAGTGCTCCAAAGGCCGACCAAGCCACCCAAGCCTTGATCCCAAGCTCCAGATTTGTCTCACAGCTGATAGGTTGCTTTTTGTCTGAGTTTTCAAGACTTAGATTTCTTGATGTAGGAAACCATTCTGGGAAAGCGCCAGATGCTTGTTCTCTGCTCCGAGAGTGCTTCCCGGAGGCTGAAGCTATCCCCTAGAATCCCTAGAAGTCCCACTGGCTTATCTGGTAGCCTTAGAATCTCAGGATGGAGAAGTGGGGGTCTTGGTTTTAATCTTGTATTTCCACTCGCCCAGCACATACTGTTGAGAAAAGCTGTAGTGTGGGAATTACCTTGGGACTGGTAGTTGAATAGTCCCCCTAAGCCTCATAAACCTCGGTTGAATCATCAGAGTAGTGCTTGCTAGGGCTACGGGTGGTAAAATACCCCTGCCTTCACCCCAAACCTTCAACACTAATTGTATCACGGTAATATATCGCTTCATATAACCCTAGATGAGCCCATATAACTGCATATCATGTTTTTATAGCCCCAGTGTAACAATGCAATCCCCAAGGTACTTCGCAGCCACTTTGCGCAGACCTCTTGGACGCGGAGCAAAATCCGGGAGATGGGCAATTGGAAGTACTGACTCTGTCGAGGTTGGCCCCGGGCTTGGGGTTTAGGATTTTAGGCTTTAGGGTTGTAGGGGGTTTTCAGGTTTAGGGTTTAGGTTTTAGGGTTTCATGGCTTATGGTGTTAGGGTCTTGGGGTCTTGGAGTCTTAGGGTTTGAGATTTTAACTGAGGTTTGTAGTTCAGGATTTCAGAGCTTTAGGTTATTAGGGGCTTACTGCAGGGTTCTAAGGTTTTTACGGGTAGGGCTTTTACAAGTGCCATTTGCTCACGACACTTGCATCAGGGTTGCAGGTTAATGGTTTGACTTCAGGTCCTAAACCTTAAGCCCTCGAGGGCCGCGTTCAATTGCTAAGGATCCAAAATCAGTGCCCTTTTCAATGCTGGCCTCTTCACTAGACGGAGATCTGAAAACAAAGTTTAAAGCTTAGAAGAATTGCCCATTCGGTATTCTGGGGAGCTGCTAGGTGCCAAAGCCAGCTTTTGTATTCCCATATGACTAAAGTATTACATCGTCATATATTGTTCTATCACCATAGCACGATGTCAATCTAGTATTCTTTCATGACATGTGCACCTAGAACACCTTAGCATCTTGCATGATAAAGACATGTCGGCATATACTCATACATCCTGGGCATATCCCCACATATGGCTAGACCTCAATACGTGTTAATCTTCTGTATGGGGACTAAAAGACACAGGTTTTTTTTGACATGCCAGAGAGCGGTTCCTTTGGTGAGCATCCCAAGTTTGGCTCCCTATGCAAACACGAGGGGGCTCTAATGTTATTCATCCCCTCATGTTCCCTGATATTTCGGATTTTTAAGGGACTAAAACCTGAAGCCTGCACCCTAAAGCGGCCCCTCAACCTTAAACTGGCTGTCATCTGGTTCCCCTGCCAGGCTACTTCGGGCTGGGTCCTCAGTCCCCGCCCAGACCCTGAAAGGGATCTGAACGTCTGATCCCATAGCATTACATGAAGAAGGGCTTTGATTGTTTGGAAAGTGCGTGTGCAATTGGCGAAGCCAGAAACTAACATTCCAGGGGTTTTAGATTCATGGTTGACAGCTAACAGAGTACACAATCGCATTGGAAGAGGTTAACGTGTGCAGACATGAGGCTGCTATGCCAACGCACAGGGTCCTTGCAGCTTGGTTGTGCAATCAGTTCGAGTGTTGGTACTGGAGCTTTTCGAGGACAGGCTTGCATCCTGCAATTCGTCAGAGTTTGTGTCGTGCTTTCCTGCCTTGCCATTGGCGTTTGACTTGACACTTCATGTGAGCCTTGGGAAGACTGCCAGTACTTCAGGGTGGCAGACGCGTTTTCCAGGGTGCACCCTTGCACTTCGAATTCAAGCAGCGCAATTATCGTCAGGGACTTAGCAAACCTTCGTCAGCCTTTTGCTTTCAAGCTGGTTCCTCGGATGTATTTGAGTTTCATGGGCAACCGTTTGCCAAGGGGATGTCGAAACATTTTTTCAGGTCGATGGCGATGCATGACCGCAATATCTTTTACTTGTTGTCGAGTGGCTCCAGCATTCAGGATGGAGTGAAAAGATTGCCTTAAGGAAAGTTACAAGCTCAAGAACCCGATCTCACTGACGATCGAGTACCTGGGCATCACACGTCTGCAACCCATGCTGAACATCTAAGATTCATTCACTCCTGAAGGCATCGACAGCAGATTCGAGTCCTTTCGAAGGCCACGCTCTGCTTGTTGGTTCCTTTAATTATGGGATCCTTAAGGGGGCCCCCTATACGGGGGACCCATAATTAAGCCTCCCTCTTAGAACTTCCATAATTTGGTTGTGCTAACCATGAGCCAGGCCGGCAGCCCTCGCAGCTGGGAAAAACTTGAGCATGTGGGTTCTCTAGAATCTGAGCTAAATGCTATTCTGCGACTGCCACTTATTGCTCAGTGTTTCCACGGTTACAAATGCGACTTCGGATGTTGCTGCTGTTGCCGTTGCTACTGCCTTCGCTGTTGTTTCTACTTCTATTGCTACAGCTATACTGCGGATGCAGAAGCAATTGAATTCTGTCTGCTACCGCGAGTTGCCAGGAGAGGTTTGCTACTGCTAATTATTTGGTACTATAAGAAATGATTGATACCGCGTGTATATGCTTCCTTCCACCAAGCCTAACCCTAAACCTCAAATACGGCCACCCCCTCCAAAAAAGATGCACCTGCTGAGGCGGGGGGTGCTGCGGGTCTTCATTCGTTTTGTGTCACTCCTCCGAGTCAAGCTCGGAATGCACCACTGACATGGAAGAGCCATGACTGCCGAAACGGTGCTCTAAGTGATTATTGTTATAAGTTATATATAGGATTGCGGGTTTAAGGATGACATGGGGTTTCGGGTTCAGGGCTTTTATTCCCTAATCTTTAAGTGCCGGCATGACCTTACACTTAAAACATGATTCAGACCATGCCCCAGATAAACCAGAATCTTAATGAACGACGATAGGAAACAGAACGGAATGAAATAAAACATAATTCATGATAATATCAATATTTCATTTATAATAAATGAGATGAACAGAAACTCAAATTTCCAATCGAAGATCTTTGGAGAAATGGTATTCTTTAACTGAATAGAAATCATGATCAACAAATCGGCAGACACGATTTAGGATTTACGGTTCGAGATGATATGAGAAATCAGAAAATCAGATCGATGAATTTAGTAATTATCACGAGAAAATTATTATGAGAATATTCCGAGAATTTAGCTTCTCATATATACTTATTTAGATAATCAATTTGATATTTAAATATATTCCCCATCCTCATAAATATTAAATAAATGAAAGATAGAATAAGATGAAGATCTCTAAATTCATATAAATTCAAATTTTCAATTGAATTTAATAGATAATTTTCGAAATTCAAAATTTTTTTATTCATATGATAAATAATAATGAGAAAATAGGAAGATGATCACGGAATTCGGATATTAATCAAAGAAAGATAGATATAGATTATCGAATTTTTGAATTTATTGAAATGATTTTATTTGGAGATATATTATGATCTTCTAAATTATCTTATTCTATAATTTTTTTCAGAAAATGAAAGAAATTCAATTTTTACGAAATAGATGATTTTTGAAATTATTCTCTGAAATGATTATTGAAAAATCAATTTGAATTAATTGATCATTTACATATTCTAATTCTTCGATAGATCGATTTATAGAATTCTTGAAATTTTCCATGAATAATATACTTCAATATTACGTTACGACTATTTCGACCGCGCGTGATCTAGCCTTTCCGGCTCACCTCTAAAATGCCTCCTGCGGGTTCCTTAGGGGCTCTAAAATCTCGGAGATTTTGAAATCTCCGAGATTTTTGAGACGGAAGATGCGACAAAAAATCTCGAAAATTTTAATTGCGCGGCCTTTATTTCTGGAACATTACTTTTCAACGAGATTTATTTTTCTTTGATTGGAAGCATGACTACTCGGCGGAACGGATAGACTTGGACTAGATATCTGAAATCTTTTGGAATTTATAGATTGATTATATCTAGTCATGATGATAGATACGCTTCTCCAAACCGCCGCGCAGATAGCCCAAGAAAGATAAATGAGATAGAAAGATCGGACTGGATGGGGGGGGACCTACGACCTGAAATCTCCCGAGATTTCGAGTCATTTCTCTCTCTTTGATTATCTGCGCGCGGCTCGGTATAGATCCTGGCCGGAGATCTAAAAATTTTCAGAATCTATTAGGTTGGTTGATTTTGAACACGTGCGGTCTCATATATTGATTATTCGTCGAGATTCATTCGTCGAGATTTACGTGCGATTTTATATATTCTACGTGATTTATCTTTCTTTTATTATCGGCGTGGCGGGTCGGAAGAACATCTAATCCCCGAGATGGAAAATCAAATTCTTTTAGAATTTCTAGATTGACCGTATCTCTTTATAGAGATTTATGCTTCTCCCGAACCGAGACTCCAAGATATTTCAGAATCTATTAGATTGGTCGTTTTTTTTTTTTTTATCACGTGCGGTCTTAGATATCGATTATTCGTCGAGATTCGTAGAGGATCTTATATATTCCATATGATTTATCTCTTTTTGATTCTCGATACAGGTATTTGGAGGAATGCGTTGACCCGAGATGGAGATCCAATTTTTTTTGGGATTTCCAGATTGACCGTATCTATTCACGGAAATTCCAATATTTTCCGAGCCGCCACGCAAATAATTTAAGAGATATAAATGAGATAGAAAGATCGCATTGGATGGAGGCCGTACGAAGGACCGTATGACCAAAAATCTTTTAAGATTTAGAATTATTTCTCTCTTGTCGGCTCTTTTGCGTAATAGCTCCGTATAATATGAAATTCAGGGCTGATCATCAAAAATCTTTCAGAATCTATATATTACGCGAGATTTTATATATTGTTTGATCACCAGATTTTCCGTTGTAGATTATCTCAAATAAATATTCTCCGTTGCTACAATCAATGGCTCAATTGAAATATCTCAATATGACGGCGCGACCAATTATATATATTTCGGGCGTATGCGGTCTAATTTTTCCGACTCATTTTTTAAATGCTTCCTACGGGCTCCCTAGGAATTCTAAAATCTCGGAGATTTTAGAGTCCTTCGGAAAAACTAGAAGCTCTAAAATCTCCAAGATTTTTTGTGCGGTCGGCGCAGCCAAAAATCTCGGAGGTTTTTAGTCGCGCGGCCCTTGCCTCCGGAGCGGCTTTCCGCGTGATTTATCTCTTTTTGGCTATCTGCGTGGCTGTTCGGCGGAGCATATAGATCCAGAGAAGAAATAAGATCTATTAAAATTCTTTATATTGATCGTATTTACCTATGGGGATTTATTCGTTCTCCCGAATCGCCGCGCAGATAGCCCAAGAAAGATAAATGACACGGAAAATTCGGGCTGGATGCGGGGGACCTCACGATCCGAAATCTCGACGAGATTTAGCTCCATTCCTCTCTCAATCTTTCAGAATCTATTAGACTAGTCATTTTTGATCGCATACGATCCTATATATTGATTATTCGTCGAGATTCATTCGTCGAGATTCGCATATGATCTTAGATATTCTACGTGATTCATCTCGCTGGGTTACAAGTGCTATTCGGAAGAATACGTAATATCGGAACGGAGAATTTATAGATTGGCCGTAAATTGATCTCAGAGATTTATATGTTCTCCCAAGCCGCCGTGCAGATAATCCAAGAGAGATAAATGAAGCGGAAGACCGGACTGGATGCGGGAAACGCGCGAGCAAAAAGATACGTGATCGTAAATCTTCCAAGATTTCGAATTTTTTCTCTCTCGTTGGCTATCTGCGCGACGTCTCGATGGAATGGGAAGAGCTGGGGGGGGAGATCAGAATCTATAATATATCATGGGCGGTCTTAAAATATTGCGGATGCATCGGGTTTCATTACGTGCGATCTTAAATGATATTTGATATTCGGATTTCTCGGAATATATTTTTCAAATAAATATATTCCGTTGCTACAAGCATCGGACCATCAAAATAGATTTATATAGAGATATTTAGGGATTCAATCTATATAGAATATTCTTAAGCCTTTCGTAAAAAAATATTCATTATAATTAATTCTTTTTTATGAGATATTCTTTATTTCTTTTCTATCTATTTTAGATATGCATTATTTCTATTCATTTTGAATCTTTTGAAAAAAGAATTAAATTGGATAAATTCTAGATTTTTAGGATTCTATTCTATATTTCTCGATTTATCTAATTTATCTTTATCCGAATGAATTATATTTCAGATTGATTTTTCAACTTATTTTAATATTTCGAATAATAATAGATATTAGATTCTATATTTTGATTTTCGCTCGCGGATATATATGATTCGATAAAAAAGAAAAATATATTCAATTGCTGATTTATTCTAAATAGATAGGAAAATCATGAATTCATGAAATTTTCATTTTAGGAATTGAATGATTTCTCGCCATAATTTTCATTTATTGCTATAAATTTTATGATGAATATAATTCTGCGCTTGCGCGTCGGGATTTGAATCAAAATTTAAGAATCTCAATTTAGGATTCAAAATTTAGGCTTAAAATATCAGGATTTCAAATTTAGATTTTCATATTGATTTTGCAGGGGGGGAGGGGAGAGGGAATCTAAAAAAATCTGAGATCTAAGATTGATAGATTTAGATATTCTCAAATATTACTAAATCAATCAATGAATAGATCCGATAGATGGCGAATACGATATGAAAGATAAATTATTAGAATTTATATATTATAAAAAGATCGAGAAGATACGGATAAATATCAAATAGAAAGAATTAAATTGGAATTTCAGATTGAATCTTGATTATTTGAAATATATTATAGCTCCTATTAAAAAATCAAAATTCATATTGGGAACAATATAGGATTCGAAATATCATTATTATTCTATATCTTTAATATATATGAGATTAATATCTATTATCTAAATCAAATGAAAATCTATCAAAATAAAAAATATTCATCTATATTAGATATCTTTCGTCTATATTTCTATTTTTTGATGATTATCATAAACGATAAAACGATCGACCTATAGATTATGAAAGATTTTAGATCTCTGATGGGAGCTATACGTTCCCTCGAATCAAAGAGAGAGAAATAATTCGAAATCTTGGAAGATTTTTGGTCGCGTGGTCCCTGCCCTTATCTATTCCAGATTTGCCATCTCATTTATCTCTATTAGGCTATCTACCCGGCAATTCGAAGAAATTCATAAATTTCCGAAGATTCTTATGACCATCCTATAATGACTAAAACATTTTAATTTTCCATCTCGGATACTATATTCTATCGATCAATTATATAAATAATTTTAAAAAAATGAATCGCATAAGCATATGTTCCAGAGACAAAATTCGTGCGAACAAAATCCTTCGAATTTTACGATCGCGCCGCCCATACTAGAGCAACCTCGACAAATCTAGATCTTCTATTTTTTCCGAAGAAAATCTAAAATGTAGGAAATTCCAATATGCCTAGAGATCGCATAAGAAATATTTTAGAGAAGAGCCAGAAAATCTAGACCGCATACGAGTGATATAATCGCTCCATATTCTTGAACTATTTTTTCTAATTTAAAAGAAAAAACCTATATAGATATAATCAAAATCCATAAGAAATCATAATCAATATTATCTATGCTAATAAGTTTTCTCCTTTTTATATTTTAGAAATTTCAATTTATTCAAAAAAATATCTACGTCTCATCAAATCAATTATATTCTCATAATAAATCATATTAAATTCAATTTTTTCAATAAATATTTCGAGTGAAAAATTATACGAATTATTCAAGATGATAAATATATTTTAATTTTTTCTCTTGATCAAGATTCTCATCATCGCCAGAAAGAATTTCATTCTTCATAATAAATAGATTTTTGAAAGGGGCGGCCACGTCAGCCTCCGTTTCCAGTCCGGAAATGCATAATCATATCTATAAATATTGAATATATTTTCTTTTTGGATAATCAAAATTATATATATATATATTTTTTTTTATATTCAGAATTATATTGAAATAATATAATCGAATGATATTCGTATTGCTAGGCAATAACCTTCGCCGTCGAGTCCATCTCTTGCGGTCATTCAGTTTCTGGTCAATACCCGCGGTTGTCCTTCGTTCTCCCATGGGTCGCAGAACTTATGCCTTCAGACCAGCTGCTCGCAGCTTGGATATTGACAAACAATTAATTTGCAAAAGCCACACCTGGAGTGGCTCTCAATGTAGGTCTCGCTTCAGAGACCCAGAGAACAAAACTAAAATGCATCTCACGCCGAGCCCTCCGAGTAGAACTGCGTTGAACCCTTCTTCATGTCACCGAGTTTGACACAAATGCCGAGCCTTGGGAAGCAGTTCAAGAAGCACATGTTGACCATGCACGGCACTTCGGAGTCCGGAGGCAGCGCAGATCCGGCCACACAGCAGCATATCTGGCTCTGTACTTTGCAGCATG